CCCCCCCCAGCTCACCATTAACGAAGACGGCGAAGCGGAGGAAGTCGAGGTAGCGCTCGCCCCCACAGGGGTTCCAGCCGATGTCAGGGTACCCCTTCGAGAGCAGCATGGGGCAGCTCTGCAGCCCACAGCTCGCCAGGTATGTCACCACCTGCGGCAGGCACCCACCTCACCCAGGGACCTCGCACGAGGACCTCCCTCGCACGAGGACCTTGCACGAGGGGACATGTCCCCCCCACCAAGTCCCCAGGGCACCCACCTTCTCCAGGTCCTGCTCCTTCAGCGCCAGCGCCAGCTCGTTGTTGTCAATGACGGAGGCGGCTGCCACGTCCAGGGGAGTCGAGCCCCGCATACCTTTGGGGAGGGGGAGGGGGGGGGGGGGCAGGGGGGGGGGGCACAGGGCAGGGGGATGTGGCTTGTGGGCACACGGGGCTGCTGGGGGGCTGGGGGGCCAGGCTGGGATCAGGGGGTGCAGGGACACCCCCAGGGTACCAGGTTGGAGGTGCGGGAACACCCCTCCCATGGTGTGAAATTGGGGGGGTACAACAGGATACAGGGACCCCCAGTGTGCCAAATTTGGGATACAGGGACCCCCAGGGTACCAGTTTAGGGATGCAGGGACCCCCAGGGTACCAGGTTAGGGATACAGGGACCCCCAGGGTACCAGGTTAGGGATACGGAGACCCCCAGGGTGCCAAATTTGGGATACAGGGACACCCAGGGTACCAGTTTAGGGATGCAGGGACTCCCAGGGTACCAGGTTAGGGATACAGGGACCCCCAAGGTAGCAGTTTAGGGATGCAGGGACCCCCAGTGTGCCAAATTTGGGATACAGGGACCCCCAGGGTACCAGGTTAGGGATACAGGGACCCCCAGGGTACCAGGTTAGGGATACAGGGACCCCCAGGGTACCAGGTTAGGGATGCAGAGACCCCCAGGGTGCCAAATTTGGGATACAGGGACCCCCAAGGTAGCAGTTTAGGGATGCAGGGACCCCCAGTGTGCCAAATTTGGGATACAGGGACCCCCAGGGTACCAGGTTAGGGATACAGGGACCCCCAGGG